ACCGCGACCCTGCGCCGCGCGCCCTAGGCGGGGGGAGACGCAGGCCGCGACCCGCGTCCACACGCACGCACAAAGGAGGGGAGAATTGAGGCAATCACACGAATAATAAGCCCTTTTGTTCACCCCCACACACACACACACTCGCACGCTTTGCCAAAATATCTCTGTAGCTTCGTGCTTTGCCCCATTTATCCAGCTCACTGCTTCAATTCTTCACTCCCTTTGCAGCCCGTTGACACCACCAGCTTTTGTGGTTTCCAAAGCGCTGATCCAGCTCTGGCTACCCAGCCTCTCCTGCTAAGCGGAGTTGCCAAGCAAAACGGACGGAAAAGGAATCTTTTATTCCACGGCGGTTTGTCTGTTTGTTTGTTTTTCTCACCTCGTTTGCGGCAGGGACATTTAAATGTGGGCGGAAGCGGCATTCTCACTCTGGGGCACATACTGAGCCAGCGCAAGGAAGGCGGGCGCTGGTCTCCGTCTGCGGCGCCGGGGACGCCCTGTGTGGGGACAGTGGGAAGGGGAGAGCCCGGCGATGGGCCGGCCCTGGGAAGGCCGCTGATCAGAAGAGGGGTGAGAGTAGGGGCGTCTCCAAGCTGGACGGCCCGTAGGTCTGGGGCAGGTGGCCTGTCCTCTCCCCTGAAGGTGGGCTCCTCAGAACTTCAGGCTGCCTAGGAGATACATCAGTCATTTAAAAAAATTAACAATAAAAATTAATAATTTAACACCCATGGAGCAGTGCTGGATATTGTGGCCCCAGAATAAAGATGGGACGCCATAGTGCTGACAAAGCGGGGAATGGAAGAAAATCTGTGCCCATAGAAATCTTTTTGGCTGGAGCAGGTCGGCTTGGCTGAGCGTGTCCACCCTGGGGCTCCAGAGCCCCAGCTGACCGGGCAGGTCCCTGCACCACAGCCAGAATGTCCACTCTGCAGGAAAAGCCCACCACACCCTCCCCCTCTTCCTCTCTGCCACACACACTGGAAGGTCTAACAGACCCCAACAAATACTCCTTAGGTTTCTGTTGGCAGAGGAGAAACTAGCCATGTGTGTCCTCTCGATGAGGGCAGAGTTGGCCCTTTTAAAGACAGGAACCCCCATTAGTGACCAATCCGCCTGCGTTAGGAGCAGGGACAGCAGCAAAAAAAAACCCTTCTTTTCCATAAAAAGCAATGTGGCTGCACCCTTGGTTGGGGCTGGATTGAACAGAAAGAAGCCACTCTGGCAGCACCGGAATTTTAATCAAGGAATTAAAATTTCCTGTTAGTGGTGAGACTGAAGGCGTTTGTAGATGGGGTCTGTGCCAGACGCCTTCTCTGGGTGTAGGAAGGCCAGGTGCACACCACAAAGGGAACTCAGTGACTCGTTTCTGTGCTCTAGGACCCAGAGGCAAAGGTGGAGCCCTTGGGCCTAGGGCTAGATGCCTGTCTCCCACCCAGGGTAACTTGGGGCTTTCCTGACAGCACACAAGAAACCTGCTGCTTGGCCCAGGATACAAGTGCCACAGGTTGGGCCTGACGCTCAGAATAATGCACTAGATTCAAGGCACCCTGTTCAACACTGGCTGAGTCCAGCTCTTGGATAAATGGGCTCCCAAATGCAGAGTCTGGGCTCCTTCTGTAAATGTGCTCACCCTAAGATAGGCAGACCTCCCCAGGGCCAGGGCCGAAGGTAGATGTGATCTGGACCTCTCAGGCACGACCACGTGTCTCCAATTTCACAGTTACATTTCAAGGGTTCAAAGCTTGTCAGGGGAATTGTTTATTTCTGCAGGAGAGGATTCGCGTGGGGAAAGACGCTGGACCCGCCCCTTCAAAGGAGCTGGGGGTTTAGGGAAGGAAGAGCTGGCTGCGTGGTGCCTCTTTCAGAGATGCCAGAGCCTTTACGGCCGGGAGGGCGGACGCGGGACGGGGCGCTGGGCTGGGAAGGGTCCTGGCCAAAGCCACCGAGGGTTCCTGCTTTCTTCTCCGGTAGGAACAGAGGCGGAGGCCGTGCCTCGCGAGGGCAGGTGGCCTGTGGCTGCCGAGGTCTGGCAGGGCAGTTTTCTCCAGCCACAGTTTGGCTCAAACGGTGACACGCCCTGGGCTTCTGCAGGCCTCGGCCTGGCGGAGACTTTTTCTCGCGTCCGCGCTCGGGTGCGCAGGAGGCGGGAGAGAAACCGGACGGCAGGGACCGCGGCCACGCGCGGACTTGGATCCCCGCCTGCGCAGCAGCCGTGGCGGTTTGGGTGGCAAGAGCGCGCCCAGGAGTGTCGGGGGCGCAGAAGTGGTCGGTGTGGAAGCCAGGGCCAGGGCGAATAATAGTACTTTACTTACCAATTCGTTACCAAAGCACAACGGCAACGCTCAGAGGCCGACGAGCTGATTTTGGCTTCTGGAACCCTTCAGCCCTTCCATGTATAAGCCCTTCTGAGGAGCGGCTGCCTTGTGGATTTTCCGGTCCCCTTATAATGTGCAAGTCCAGCCCCTGGCCGCTCTGGCTGAAGGGACCCGACAGCCCGCGCCAGGAATTCACGGGCCGGCCGAGCTAGGCTTTCGCCTGCGTAACCCGGGGCCTGAGGGGGGGCTCCTTTCTTTCCCCAGGGAGGGCGGCCTTTTGGTCTTTGCCTAAACGCCATCCGCGGACACTGACGTGGGAAAAAGGGAAGGGGGGGAAGATCAGTTTCTTTGCATAACCATTTCCCGTTTTACATTTGACACATTTCCAGAGAACAGCCACAGGATATTAGTTCTGATTAAAAAATAAAGAGCTCTTTTCAGAAAATATTGACTGTGAGACAAAAATAGATGGGTACCTTCTTTGGCAATTGGAGAAAAATCTGAGATGGAATTTGTAGAAAATTCACCATCCAATAAACTAATAAGCCGCAGTTAGCAGGTGCCTGTGGAAGGGAGAAATAAATAGGACAGGGAAAGTCCTCGGAACTGTCCCGAGAGCAGAATGGCTTGTCCTGGCAAAGCTTGGGGCCGGGTAGGGCAGGGAGTTGGGGATCCAGGAGAGTCGTTCTGGTTGGTTTCCTCTTTGGGGGGGGAAGTTTTCAGGTGGCGCCAGCAGCCTTAGTAATGACATGTGCACAAAATTAGAATGCACCATAGCAGCAGTTGTCAACCTTTTTCATCTCATGGCACACATAAATTACTAAAATTACACAGCACACCCAAAAAATATGCTATATTTTGGCCGATCTGACAAAAAATCGGTCCCATTTTGATGCATTCATACAAGAAGACTGTTGTTGTGTTGGCTATTGTCAATTTTAATTTGACGATCTAAGAGAGAAGAGGTCAGTGCCCCTGACCAATAGTCAGATATGGCCTGTTTTAAAATTCTTGCAGCGCACCGGTTGGAAGTCGCTGCGCTATAGCAGCTCATTTAGTCACAATGCCTGGAATATAGCTGTGCAATCTTGAGAAAGTCACCTAACTTCTCTGGGCTTTTGATTTCTCCTGTAAAATGGAAGGGCTACACAGACATCAAGTCCCCTGTCCCCTCTCTAGGGAGAGGAGCTTTTTAATGAGCCCAGGGACTCTAGGAGAGCTGAACCTTTACTTGACCCCCTTTCCGCAGTCCCATAAAGCCTACTGTGCAGGACTTCCTAGGAACATATTTTCATATGATAAACAAAGGTCACTTTAAGCACAGGCACCGGTGAGTGAACAAATGGTAGCTGAAGGCTACGTGATAACTTCTAGCTGTTGTTGGCCTGAGAGCCTGGTTCTCCCAGCATCAAGGGTTTTCCTCTGGAGTGAGGCCTCAAGTTCCTCCCTCTAGGGGCTTTAAATCATTCTCTGTGCCCACCCATCACACAGACTTGGAGTGCGTTATACAATATGCACAGTGTCCAGACTGATTCCATCAGAAAGGGAGGAAATGGGCCACCTCACCATTTAATTACATAACTTTCATCCAATGAGCAAAACTAGGTTTCTGCCCCCCAAATTCCACCCCCTCTCCCGAGGCTCTTTATTTTCCTAGATCTCCTGGCTTTGAGACTGTATCTTGGATAGAAGAGCAGGAAAAAGGTATTGCTTGCCTCGGTTCAGAACGCTTGGTGGTGCCTCCACGGGAGGAGTAACGCAGCTGTTTTTCCCCCTGTTTGGCACCCTGGTCCCTGAGTCTACCAATGACCTCCCACAAATTCAGGAACTTTTCCTCAGGTAGAAAGGACCAGACACTCAGTTGGGCTGTGCTGGGCAGGGACAAATATGCTCCTGGGCAGCTTTGGACAGCTGTGGTCCTTCCCTGCTTTTCAGGATGAACACACAGGATTCCATGTGGCCTGAGGGGGCTGAGCAGGCAGTGGACTCTGGGGAGGCCCCACAGAGAGGACACTGATCCATTTCCTTCCCAGTGAGGTTAGCTGAGTGGGCTGTGGCCAGCCAGGGTGGGGATGTTGGGGTCAAACCAGCCATTACTGAGCCTTCTTATGTATGTGTGTGGGGAGGGCTGCTGATTGAATGCAATGGCTGAGGAACTCCCTAAACTCCAGTGAAGTAGAGACTGAGTCTTTTTTCTAACAGCAATATAGATTGCCAAGCCGAAATTTTATCAGACATGTTCTTCCTTCTTACTGTTCTTTAATTATCCTGGGAACTCAGGTCAATGCAGGTGAGGGTTTCCTGTGCAGGGTGGAGAGGGAGTCAGGAAGGGTGCATTTTTGGATAATTTCCTTGCTCTTAAAAGGGATTTAGAAAGTAGACTTGCATGCGAAGGTGGATCGAGATGGCCTGCCCTATCTGGGTTACAAGGGTCATAGCCTCCCCAGTTTCCAGGAGCCACAAATATGGGACAAAGCAGGGTCCCCCGAGGTGGAGCAAACACCGGGGACCTTTGAGCAGGGAGGGAGCCCTGTCAATGATCTGTGGATTCAAGGAGTGTCTCATCTGCCTAGAGAAGCAACCCGCCCCTTCCGGCACCTCCCTCTTCCCATCCCCCTCTGCACCCCTGCCCTTGCCACTGGGTGGAATCCTGGAAGCCCCGACCTTCTCTGAGGAATGTGGAATGGCCTCTACACCGTCTGTAACAAAGAGAAGTCCCTTTGATAACTGAGTCGTGGCTGCCCAAGTAGTCTTCCTGACACTTTATTTACCTGGGCCCCTCTTCATGTAGCTCTGGCTCCATGGGGCCACCACAGCTTCAGCCCCAGCCCAAACCCAGCCCGAACTTCCCAAACAAGTTGGCCTCTTCCAGAACCATTTGCTGAAGGCTTCTCTCGGGCAGCGGGTTGGAGACCAGAGGTACTGACTGGAAAGGAGCCTTGAGCAGCAAGGTTGGGGATGACCTTGGGAGCTGCTTCTCAGCTCAGGTAAAAAGGCTCTGAGAAAACTGCCAAGCAACTTGGGTCTAAAACTGAGAAAGCGCTGCTTGGAGCTCTAATGCAGGTGGCACCTGCATCCTCCTGGGGGCCACACACCTGCACCCAGAGGCCTGAGGAGCCACCCCATCCACAGCAAGCCTCGGAATAGGCACCCAACAAAGACCTGCTAGAGGCTAAGCCATCAGGATGAAAAGACACCCAGGCTCTCTCCCCATCAGCCACCTCCACCCCTCTCTGATTGCTTCCACCACCTTGTCACTGCGGGCACCCAGATGTGGGGACACTTCCACTCTGAGGAGCTTGTCCAAGGACACCATTATTGGCTTTCTTTCCCCTCACCCACCCCAGACCCCAAGCTCATGGGCAGGGCCATGCTGCTACCATGGATCCTTTTTTTTTTTCTGGAAGGAAACCAATTGGTTTTCACAAGGATTTCCTTTCTCCAGCATTCACACCCCAAGTGAGCCCCAGGCTTCCCTGCAGTCCGGCCAGTTCTGGGCCTGGCATGACCCCTGAGGCCAGAGCAACCCTGGCCACCCCCGAAGCATTTGGGTGGGCAGGCCAGAGCCCTTTCTCTGGCACAGAGCACAGAGACACAGCTGGAAAACCAGGACAATTAGCCAGTGGCTGGCGGCTGGGCCATAAAAACACAGGAAGTGGCCACCACAGGGCGGAGGGGACGGCTGTCCCCAATAAAGTAATTGTTACAAAGAATGCCCACATTCCGAAGACACAGGCTCAAGCCTGGGCCTCAGCTGACTTTCAGGGTTTGAGGCCTGGGAGGGGGTGTGGGGACGGAAGGAGGGACTGTGTCTCCAGGAAGAGGAGGAAGATGTTTACTAGATCAAAAGTCCTCAGTGCCCATCACTTAACCTCTCACATTCCTGCCCCATCAGGACCGCAGACACCCTTTTCACACGCACATCCCATTCTGTGATTTGAGTTTTGTCATGGGGCTTGCAATGTATTTTCTATTTTTTTCTGGAGAGGTCCGATGACACGCAGCTGTCTGGGCCAGGCTCAGGGGGTCCGTATGGATGACCTGCTCAGCTCTCCTACCTCTTGAGTGCTCAGCTTGCCGTCCCCCGCAACATGTTAGCCTTCTTCCCTAGGAAACACAAAGGACTGGCGGGACCAGCGGGCAGAAGATCCCGACGCCCTGAGCCTGCTTGGGCCTGGTGTCTCTGCGCCATGCAGCTCTTCTGTAAAATGAAGAGCATGGCAACACCGGCTTTGTCCCGGTTCTAGGGAGAGGCGAGGATCAGGGGAGATGAAAGGCCCTGGAAAGGGCTCCATAGATACAAGATGAAGTGACAAATACCAGAGAGAGCTTAACAGTGAGAGCCGAGTGCAGATCTGAAGGAGAGCGGCCAGTGCCCCTCCGGTTCTAGATCAGGCACAAAGCTACCGTGTCAGCCTGCCCAGCCTAGACTGGCTCTGTGCATCCTAGCCCGGCATTGCCACCTGGATTCAGAGAGATGGCAGTTGGCGGCCTCAGGCCCACTCCCTGTGGTGGTTAAACGGAGAGGAGCGCACGTGCAGGAGCCAAATCTCCTTGGCCGCACTCCTCTAGGTGCAGATCCCCCGCAGCATAGGTCCCCACAGCTCACACTTTCGGTCCCTGGCCCTTGGACACAATGCTTCAAAAACCAAGGAAGATCCTCTCTCAGCTCTTCCCCACTCAAAGCTTTCCAGAAGCGATCATTAGTAATGGGCCAGGGTTCCCTTACCATCCCCTGGAGATGAAAAACAATTTTCTTCCAAGAATGTTTTACCTTGTACAGGAGAAAGTGCTTTTAGGACCTTGGTACATATTAGCAGACATCTTGGGCTTCCCTTTCCTTGATTTTTAACCACTTATTTAAGTATAGCAAACATAAGTGTAGCTCCCGGGATTCTCACAGACACACGGTGTAACCGGTGCCTGCCCTGTAGCAACCTCCTCCTGCTCCCTTACTGCCCTCCACTAGCGTGGTTTCTAACTTGGTTTGTAGTTAAGACTTTTGAGTCGAGTGTAATTTCTTAAAATTAACTGCTTTAACTTAAATCCCAAATGTTAGGTGAACTCGGCGATGCAGCTTGCAGCTAGGGTCATAATTTATCTCCTACGGAGGGCGAGTGGTTTGGGGGGGGGGGATAAATGATTAGCCATGGCAGATGTTTGGGGCGCACAGTCGTTCTCGCGGGGGGCACAGGGCGGGAAGGAGCCTAGCACCTCTGCCGTCTCCGCGCCTCACCTCAGGCGGTGGCTAGAAACGTTGCCGTCAAAGCAATGATTCCCTTTTCTTTTCTCTTAGAATAGAAGGAGCTTCTTAACACCCCCCCTTTCCTGCAAATGCGTCAACACTACCCCTTAGCCCCCAAGTCCAGATTCCTACCAAGACAGCTCTCTCCCCCCTTTTGCAAGTTTCTTGCTTTCATTCTTTGAACCTGTGATTGGAGGTTAGAGTGCACCCAGTTGGAAGGAGGAAGCCCTCAGCAATAAAGGTTTGAATAGTTAGCTGTGGTCTGGTCTCCGCCTTCTCGAGAGCACCCCCCCTTATCTTTTAAAATGCAAATCATATTTGGGGGGTTGCGCGCGGGGTGCGCGCTGCGCCTCGACGTCTCCAGCCATTGGTGTCTGTGTCATTACTAATAGAGTCCTGTAAACACTCGTTAATCACGTCAGGCCTTCGGCCCCGGGCTCCGCGCGCCAGCCNGGGTCTTCCCCGCCTCTGCAGCCCAGTGGGAAGGAGGTGGGAGGAAAAAAGGAAGAAAGGGAGGGAGGGAGGGTGGAGACAGGCCAGTGGGAGGGACCGCCTTAGAGGCAGAAGCGCCGCGAGGAGCCAGCGGAGCACCGCGGGCCGGGGCGCAGCTACCCGCGGCTCCTCGCGTCCGCGCCTTTCCCTCTCGCTCCCCGCGGCAGCCCCCAGCGTCTGGCCCCAGGCAGTATGGTGAGGTTGGCTGCCGGGCCCTCGCCACCATGTACGTGAGCTACCTCCTGGACAAGGACGTGAGCATGTACCCCAGCTCAGTGCGCCACTCCGGCGGCCTCAACCTGGCCCCGCAGAACTTCGTCAGTCCCCCGCAGTACCCGGACTACGGCGGCTACCATGTGGCGGCCGCGGCCGCGGCGGCCGCGAACTTGGACAATGCCCAGTCCCCCGGGCCGTCCTGGCCCTCGGCCTACGGCGCCCCGCTACGCGAGGACTGGAACGGTTACGCGCCGGGGGGCGCCGCGGTCGCAACCAACGCCGTGGCGCACGGCCTCAACGGGGGCTCGCCGGCCGCCGCCATGGGCTACAGCAGCCCTGCGGACTACCACCCGCACCACCACCCGCACCACCACCCGCACCACCCGCCCGCTGCGCCTTCCT